AGTCTCATATATTCCATTACAAGGCAATGCTTCAAAATATAAAACACTATTAAGATAAGCATAAACAGAACCCTTTTCATTATCAAATGAATATTTAAATCCTTATATATATAAACCATGAAATGAAATGATGTTTCTTTCCATATCTGGCGAATAGAAACAATTATTTAAATATAAACTTAATCCATTACTAAGCACTAGGGAATAAACTCCAACATATCTTATCATTTGTGATGTCTCATGTTCAAGTTCGGCTGGTCCATCAGATGCCTAAGACTTTTGTGGTCACTATAAATTGTGGACCAGAACCCATAAAAATAATTCATCCAACTCTTGAGAGCAAAAACCACATCCCCTAACTCCAAAACATGTCTAGGGTAGTTCACCTCGTGAGGCTTTAATTGCCTCGTTGCATATGCAATCATATGATTCCTCTACATAAGCACTGCACCCAATCCTAAAATTAAAGCATCACAAGAAACCACAAAATCATCCATACCCTCTGGGGGTGTCCAAATCAGAGCTTCATATAATCTCTGCCTCAAAGTCTCAAAAGATGCTTGCTGATTGGGGCCCCACCAGAATGAAGTATTATTGTTAGTTAAATGGGTCGAGGGAGAAACAATCCTAGAGAAATCCTAAATAAACCACCGATAATAACCTGAAAGACCAAGTAGAATCATAATTTCAGAAGGTGTCCTCAGAACCTCCCACAACATCACTGCCTCTATCTTGGTCGTATCAACCAGTATACTCTTCTAGTTGAGGATGTGCCCCAAGAACTGCACCTCGCACAACCATAACTCACATTTGGAGAACTTGGCCTAAATCCCCTCTCTCCTCAAGGTCTCTAAAACCTCCCATAAATGCTCCTCATTTTTCTCCTTGGTTGGAGAGTAGACCAAGATATCATCAATAAACACTATCACTCACAATCAGCCAAAACACTCGATTCATGATATCCATGACTGCTTTTGGTACGTTGGTGAGCCCAGATGGCATTACGATGAACTCGAAATGAAAATAACGAGTCCTAAAGGCCATATTCTACACATCCTCATCTCTAACCTTCATTTGATAATAACCAGATGTAAAATCAACCTTGGAGAAGCAAGATGCACCCTGAAGTTGGTCAAATAAATCATCAATCCTTAGAAGTGTATAATGGTTCTTCACCATAAAATTGTTCAACACCTGATAGTAAATGCAGATGTTTGTGTGAACCATCCTTCTTTTCTTATAAACATGATCTATGCTCCCCCATGCTGAACTGCTCAAATCAATG